ACCCCACCCCCCCCCTATTATCGACATCAGGATCCGCTAGTGACTGCTACTAATAGGTGATACGGTTAGTCTGAGACACTTTGTATATTTTACATTATTTTTAAATCTATTCTATTCTCTTAATGATATTAAAATAAAACAAATTGAATTGACTGACGAGAAAATCATATGTCATTTTTTATGTGAAACAAATTGGAATTTATCTTGCACGCAAACCAATTTATCAACAAATTCTTATTAATAAGTTTTTAATATATTTTTTAAGCTTCTGTGATGTCTTCGGATTTTTACAAATTTATAGTGAATTTAATGTATGGATTATTATGGACATGCGAATACAGAAACATTGTTATATATCATCTTAAATATATAATAGTATTAAATAGTGAGCAGTAATGTTACTCATCCATTACGTTGAGTCATGTCATTTATGTCGTTTATATCGTAACAATTATTGCAAACAGAACTAATCACGCTAGAATTTTGTTTTGCATAACCTTAGATCTTCTAGTGTTAGATTACGAAACAATACTTATAGCGTAATGGCGAATAAAAATAAAAAATATCATCAAAGATAAATTGGTAAAATAACAAAAATTGACAAATCTGTCAAAATTTTTAAAAGTGATATGAATAATTATAAACTATTATAAAATTAATAAAAACTGTTAAATGCGTAATAATATACAAAATATTTCCAACTACAAAAAATTTTCTAAGAAAATTACTAATTGTAAGTGTTATGTATTTCCGTTAGACAAGATCAATGATGAACACGATGAAAAAATACATGTTGCATTACAAATACATGTTGTCAAATTCCAAAATAAAAAGTGATGATTTGATGATTTGATGATTTGATTTTATCGCAAAAAAACATGCAAATCGTCGCAGAAGCGAGACTATTGGTTGTTTTGCCGAGTCTTGCGCGTTAATGTCACTTGTCACGAATTGTGCAAAAAGCATGATAATCATCAAAAATCACATTACTTCCGGTAGATATGCATCAGCATGATAATATTTCTCTGTTGTTTTTTTCCATGTCTCTTCAACTAACAAACGCGTCACAAGGTAGGGGCCATATAAAAGCAACGAGCAGCTTCATCTAACCAGTGTGTAATACGGATCAAGCACGATGATTAAGCTACTCCTTATTTCTTTACTTTGCGTGGCGGTGGTAAGAAATCGATAACAACTCATTTAAAGTCTTAGAACAGAGTGATGAGTAGAGATTAACGCATATTACGTTGACATATGCATAAAAATTGAATTGTGCTTCAAAGTAATAAAGTTAAAATAAAACTTTCAAGACACAGTTACTCACAAAATTAACCAATGTTTAAGAAAATATATAAACTTTTGTAATATAATAAAATAAAAGAAGAAAAAATACGTATATGAAATCATATTCTTATAGCTTGCACATTTTATTAAAAAAAAATTATAAATAAAATACTTTTGAAATAATACGTTCCTAAATAATTTCTTAAAACTTTTAAAATACATGATTAATTTCATGAATCATTGTACACGGTATAACATCAATTATTTAGAACCACGTGATAAGCACAACATTATTAACATTTCAATATAGTCATTAGACTCTTTCCCCTACTATTATTACATTATAATAAAAAATTTTAATGCCTTTTCAGCTCTTATCAGAGCAAGCTAAAGCTGAAGCAAATGGAGGTGGTGGAGGTGAAGGTGGAGCTTCAGGTGGAGCTTCAGGTGGATTTAGCGTGAGTAAAATATATAACTAATAATAAGTAATTTATATATACACATGCAAAGTTTATCTTTTTCGTCTAAAAAATCCATCTCAATTAAACAAAATTTTCTACAAAATAAACAATTCTTTTTGTATTTTTGTAATGTACATAGTAAAATAATTTTTATTTAAGGGCGGCTTTCAGATGGGTGCTCAAGGAGGTGGAGGAGCAAAAGGAGGTTCACATAATTTAGTGACACGTACACAAATCAGAGGACAAAGATTTGCTGCAAAAGCCATGCCATCTCCTCCAGAGAGGCCACCTCCTCCACCTGGACCTCCTCAAGAGTGAGAAGGATAAAGGCGATAAAGGCAGTAGCTTCTATTTTAGGTAGATATTTTTCACATGCGAGCATTTTCGCATCAATGAACCTATTAATAAATTATGCAGTCATTTTGTAGCCCCCCCCCCCCCAGAATAGTTCATTGTTTAGAAAAAGTTCTATAAGAGAAAGTTAAAAAGTAAAGGAACCTTTAAAAAACTTGATTCCTTAAATGTGTTTTCATTTTTTCACTCAGCCTTGTATGTATGATTTTTACTATTCAAATTACTAAACAATTTACAACAACTTACTAACTTACTAACAACTAAGTATTCGTGACATAATTAATAACAATCTTCGTGAATTTATACATTAACTTTGTAATGTTTATATTTCATTAACGGCAATTGTAATATCAATGTTTGAAGTATTTAGAATAGCACAAGTTGCTTAGTGCAAAGTTGAAATATTTATGTTAAAATATATATAAAATATATTATATGTCAGGATATATAAAATATACATCAGAATATAAAGTATAAATAAATCATCTTTAGATTATAATTAAAAAGAGTTTAACCTTGAAAAAAATATCGTTATTAAAAATGTAATACATATGTTAATCTTTTATATTTATTTCAGAAGCGCATTATGTTGATTTCGACCATTACAAGTAGATGAAGGTGATTAGATTGTACTCAGCACTATGGCACATTTTATTAGAATAATTGCACGATCAAGAAGAACCCCGATGATTTGTGAATAATAAAATTTTGCACTGCAGGAAGATTTTTATGATTAGTTAATTAGATCCCATCCATATTATTTTTTTAACAATTTCAAAACAATTCGTAAGGCCCAACGCACAATAAAGAAAATATTAAAAATAAGAATAAATATTAAATATTAAGAAGAGCAATTTAGAATTATTTTACTTCAAACAACGGAATGGATTAATTATTTCTAATTCTTATTTCCTAATTCATGATACGTTAATCCATTTCATTTTCTTGTTTTAAAATAAAATAATATCAATTTTCAATTTCTAATATTTAATATTTATTCTTATTTCTAATATTTTCTCTATTGTGCGTTGAGACTAGAAACACTTTTGTCTTTGATATAATAATTCTTTACACGCAACGCAGTGATTGTCTTTGTGATTTATGTCACAGCATACGTGTGGAATGTTGTTTGCGCGTTATCACTTAACTATTATTCGCACAATACTCTAGCGAAATAGACAACTGCAGAATCACTTCGTTATTATTATCTCTCATATGGAAAGAAAAATATTATAAAAGTATTTCCTACAAATAATTGTCGATTTACTTTTTACACGATTAATTTGCTGTCGTGATTAGCAATCCAGATATATTATTCCACGCGAATATATTATATTTGAAATTGTAATTTTATACATTTTATTTGTATTACAATATGAGATAAAACACTCTAAACGATTTAAAACGCAAATATATTTAATTTTTTATTTTTGAAAAACGCGAAAATTTACGAAAATATTTTGTGCTTAGCATAGCCGCAGCAACATACAAAATTAATTGCGCATTTTTTTATTTCTCTCTGCCGTTCTTTTTTGCTTCCGAAGTGAGTGTTGAACGGATTTTCGTGCGATCTCGTGATTTTCTTTTGCCATTATGTAACACAATTTGCGTCGATTAATATTGGTTAGTGCCGTAGAAAATGCGCGTATTTTATATGTGCCATGGAAAAGCAGCAGTTAGAGTTTTACTTTGTCTGAATGACAAAGTATGCGTCGGAAATGTCGTTTAAAACATCGGACGATTTTTATATTCGCGTCGCGAACGCGTACAAATGCCTTCAAGAACTGCAAGGAGCATTGAGAGAAGAAGAAGGTTCAGGGGAGACATTGGGTGCCGGCGGAGCAACTTTAGGGTAAGTAATCATATATTTGTTCTGTTATTAGTAAAATATATCACATAAAATATTATGTAATGTAACACACATAGAAACTTTGAAATATTCAAAAACTTGCAGTTTTTAATATAATTATCAGATATAAATATATAATTTTTATGAGACATTTGCATAAAAGAGAGATGAATAAAAGTTTAATGTGCGTAATAATTATTTCTCAAATAATTATTTTAACCGTTACTATAATTTGAATGTACTTTTGTATGTTACAGATGTCAATTTGTGAATAACTTTGGTATTGTGCATTGTGCCGGTAAGTCAATCCAATTAATTTTATTTCAAATATCATTTAAAAAATACATATAAAAATAATATAAAATATACAAGGTCTCAAACTAACCATATTACCTGTTAATAGCACATTTCTAAGGTTTCTTATATAAAGATATAGAAATTAATATACAATGTATCTAAACGCAAAAATTTTTGACAATTTGATTAATTCTGATCAGATAATTGATCAGTTCTGATCAAAAATTTTTATATTCTTCATTTTAATATAAAAAAAAATTTTTGTTTTTAAATAATCTCAGAAATCCGCTATTAATGATACGATTGATCTAAAACACACTGTATATCTTTAATCTATTAATATTTTTGTGTGCTTAATGAAAGCATCTTTCCTCAAAATTAATTAATTACGAAATAATCTTGGCGATCTCACGCAACAGTATCATTAAAAAAGACGTAGAAATGAATTAATTAGCCGGATCCGTACAGTTCGCACGCGCCGCGGTACATTAATAAATTATTTTCCGTCCTTCTCCGGTTCTACATTTGCACTGCTTTGCGGTAACTGTAAATGCGGAACGACGTCATTAGTGGCCACCGCGATGCACAGATCCGCGCTTTTTTAATTGTTGCTTTCGGTGTTACGTGTGCGTCCTGGAAAATATTTACCACAAGACAGTTACGAATAATTACGCTCGTATAAAATATTACCGCCGTATTAATGCGAAATGAGTGCTTGGATATAATTTAATGCATTTCTGCCGTCGATGTAGTAAATCCCCGTCTTAATCCCCTTTTCTTCTTAGCGAATAAAATCTCTCCCTTTCCCTTTTCTAAACTCAGTGTTAGTCAAATTAGCGTACTCTTCGAAAAACCGTATCAACACTCGTGCTTCCTGTTACTTTGTAAATCGATGTCATTTTTTTAACGAGAAGGAAACTTAAATTTTATGGCATCAGTTTAATTTGATCGGTTAGTATGATCGTGGTCGACTCAAATACTTTGTGTCGTAAACTATTTAATAGGCACAGACTTGGATTCTCTTAATGATTTTGCCTTGTTTTTAATTCAAAATCAAACAGAATATCAATCCATTACGCTATTAAAAGATTGTAAAAATTAAATTATCAATTCAAATCGAATAGATTATTGGCTATATTAGCGAAACTTATTAGAACTAAGTAATTGTTACAAACTATTCTTTAATTAAACCCAGCAAATATTTGAACACTATTATAATTTTTACATATATTTTAGAAAAAAATTTGTACATTTTAATTTGCTTTAATTTAATTTAGTTTGTATTACGAGAAAATTACTCTATTTACATTCTTCAAAGAAAGGATGCGATAAAAGCAAAGATGAAAGCTGGAAGCGAGCGTTTATCGGCGTCGGGGGGTAATAAATACACAGAGAGAACTGGGATTCGTGCGCGCGTGTGAGATGATAACATCTCGCGTTAGAAGGAATGATCCTGCGTATCACTCGCGGATGCGAAACGCACATTACTCACGCCGATATGAATAGCAGTAGCCTCTGTGATGTCTTTTAATAGATTTCTACAAATTTGTAATAAATTTAATGCGTTGATATGCAAGTATAGATGCATTGTTATATATTATCTTATATAAAAGCACTAAATAGTGACCGTTAGTTTAAATTATTCATCTATTACGTTGACTATGTCATTTATGTCGCTTATATCAGAACAGTTATCGCAAAACAGAATTAGTCACGCTAGAATTTAGTTTGCTAAACCTTGGATTTTCTGTTATGTTATGAAACAATATTTATATAATGCGTAAAACAAATGATATCATAAAAGATGAATCGATAAAATAACAAAAATTAAAACAAGTCAGAATTCATGAAAATGATATAAATAATTATAAAAAATTGATTAAAATTAATAAAAACTGTTGAACACGTAATAATATTCAAAATATTTTCAATTACGAAAAAGTTTTCAAGAAAATCATCAACTGTAAGTATTATGCATTACCGTCAAATGTGTTAATGAACAACAATGGAAAAGTGTGTTTCACATTATGTCAAATTGCAAGTGATAAAAAGTGACGATTTGATTATATCGCAAAATAACATGCAGATCGTCGCAGAAGCGAGACATTTTAATTATACTACTGGTTATTTTGTCAAGTTTTGCGCGTTAAAGTCATTTGTTGTGAATTGCGCAAAAACCATGATAAACATCGAAAATTATATTACTTCCGAACGATAGCACGATAATATATCTGTTGTTTTTTTCCGTGTCTCTTCGACTATCAACGCGTCACAAAGTAGGGTCCATATAAAAGCAACGAGCAGCTTCATCTAACCAGTGTGTAATACGGATGAAGCACGATGATTAAGCTACTCCTTATTTCCTTACTTTGCGTGGCGGTGGTAAGAATCGATAACAACTCATTAAAGTCTTAGAACAGAGTGATAGGTAGAGATTAACGCATATTATGTTGACATATGCATAAAAATTAAATTGTGCTTCAAAGTAATAAAGTTAAAATAAAACTTTCAAGACACAGTTACTCACAAAATTAACTAAATGTTTAAAAAATATATAAACTTTTGTAATATAATAAAATAAAAGAAGAAAAAATATGTATATAAAATTATATTCTTATAGCTTGCACATTTTATTTAAAAAAATATAAATAAGATTTTTGAAATAATACGTTCCTAAATAATTTCTTAAAACTTTCAAAACTCATCAACTTCATGAGTCACTGTACACTGTATGACATCAATTATTTAGGACCACGTAATAAGCACAACATTATTAACATTTCAATATAGTCATTACACATCTTCCCCTACTATAATTACATTATAATAAAAAATTTTATTGCCTTTTCAGTTCTTATCAGGGCAAGCTAAAGCTGAAGCGAATGGTGAGTACGGTGAGTACGGTGGGTACGGTGGGTACGGAGCTGGAGGGTATGCTGGAATGGGAGTAAGTAAAATGTATAACTAATAATAAATAATTTATATATAGACATGCAAAGTTTATCTTTTTTATCTAAAAAATCCATCTCAATCGAACAAAATTTTTTATAAAATAAACAATTATTTGTGTACTTCTGTAATGTACATAGTGAAATAATTTTTATTAAATGGCGGTTTTCAGTTTAATTTTGGAGTAGAAGGAGGTGTACAAGGAGATGCAGGTGGACGTGGAAAAAGAAGTGTTTCTCAATTAGTGACACATGCACAAATCAGAGGACAACAAATGCCACTTGCTGCACAAAACGCGCTTCGAAGTGCATCACCTCCTCAAGGAAGAGGACCTCCAGAGGGACATCCAAGGGGACCTCCAGAGTCATCATCACTATATGGACAAGGGCAGTAGCTTCTATTTTAGGTAAACATTTTCCGCATTGCGAGCATTTTCGCATTAATAAACCTATTAATAAATTATACAGTCAATTTTTAGCCTCCCCCCTCCAAATAGTTTATTGTTTAAAGAATCTATAAAAGAAAGTTAAAAAGTATAGGAACCTTTAAAAAACATGATTCCTCAAATGTGTTTTTATTTTTCGACTCAGCCTTATATGTATGATTTTTACTATTCAAATTACTAAACAACAATATTCGTGACATAATTAATAACAATCTTCGTAAATTTATACTTGCTATTAACTTTGTAATGTTTATATTTCATTAACGACAACTGTAATATCAATGTTTGAAGTATTTAGAATAGCACAAGTTGCTTAGTGCAAAATTGATATTAATGTTAAAATATATATAAAATATATAATATATATATATATTTTATATATATATATGTATATATATTGTTGCGCCCACGGAACGAGGTATCAACACGTCAACGAAACTCGCAAAATTAAAGAACACAACACAACACTTCAACAAAACAGAGAACACTTTAATAAGAACAGTATCTCAACAGTAACTCATACAATAAGTAACCGAAAATAAGATTGAAAGATCGGAGCTGTCGTATACGTCCGCCCGAGCAGACAGCTCCCGAAAATCTCAAATATGACAGTTTGTTTACAAACTGTCATAGAGACCCTTTAAACCGCTAATCAATATTGTCTTGACAACAAATATAAGAAAGATTATTAACAAATGCCATTTGGCTCCAACTTTCTAGTGACAGATCGATATTATCGATCGGTCCGTCAGCTGTAACACACAGTATCAGCGGCGAAATAGCACGGGCGCAACAATATATACAAATCATATACATACATATATATATTATATTAGGATATATAAAATATATATCAGAATACAAAACATAAATAAATTATCTTTAGATTATGATTAAAAAGAGTTTAAGAACCTTGAAGAAAATATCGTTATTAAAAATGTAATACATATGTTAATCTTTTATATTTATTTCAGAAGCGCATTATGTGGATTTGGACCATTGCAAGTAGATGAAGGTGATTAGATTGTACTCAGCACTATGGCACATTTTATTAGAATAATTGCACGATCAAGAAGAACCCCGATGATTAGTGAATAATAAAATTGTGCACTGCAGGAAGATTTTTATGATTAGTTAATTAGATCCTATCCATATTATTTTCTTAGCAATTTTAAAACAATTCGTAAGGCCCAACGTACAATAGAGAAAATATTAGAAATAAGAATAAATATTAAATATTAGAAAGAGCAATTTAAAATTATTTTACTTCAAACAACGGAATGGATTAATTATTTCTAATTCTTATTTCCTAATTCATGATACTTTAATCCATTTCATTTTCTTGTTTGGAAATAAAATAATATCAATTTTCAATTTCTAATATTTAATATATATTTATTCTTATCTAATACAATATTTTCTCTATTGTGCGTTGGAACTAGAGACACTTTTGTCTTTGATATAATAATTCTTTACACGCAACGCAGTGATTGTTTTTGTGATTTATGTATGTCACAGCATACGTGCGGAATGTTGTTTGCGCGCTATCATTTTTTAGCTATTATCCGCACAATATTCCAGCGGAATAGACGGCTGCAGAATCACTTCGTTATTATTATCTCTCATACGGTAATCAAAAAATATTATAAAAGTATTTCCTACAAATAATTATTGATTTACTTTTTGCACGATTAATTTGCTCTCGTGACTAGCAATCCAGATATATTATTCCATGCGAATATATTATATTTGAAATAGTAATTTTATACATTTTATTTGTATTACAATATGAGATAAAACACTCTGAACGATTTAAAACGCAGATATATTTAATTTTTTATGTTTGAAAAGCGCAAAAATTTACGAAAATATTTTGTGCTTAGCGTAGCCGCAGCAACATATAAAATTAATTGCGTATATTTTTATTTCCCTCTGCCGTTCTTTTCTGCTTCCAAAGTGAGTGTTGAACGGATTTCCGTGCGATCTTATGTTTTTCTTTTTTCATTATGTAACAAAATTTGCGTCGCTTAATATCGGTTAGTGCCGTGGAAAATATTGCGCGTATTTTATATGTGCCGTGGAAGAGCAGCAGTTTGAGTTTTACTTTGTCTGAATGACAAAGTATGCGTCAGAAATGTCGTTTAAAACATCGGATGATTTTTATATTTTCGTCGCAAACGCGTACAAATGCCTTGAAGAACTGCAAAGAGCATTGAGAGAAGAAGAAGGTTCAGGGAGGGCATTGGGCGCCGGCGGAGCAACTTTAGGGTGAGTAATCATTTATTTGTTATCTGTTATTAGTAAATATATCACGTAAAATATTATGTAATGTAACACACATAGAAACTTTGAAATATTCAAAAACTTACAGTTTTTAATATGATTATTAGATATAAATATATAATTTTTTATGACACATTTGCATAAAAAAAGAGAGGAATAAAAGTTTAATTATCATTTCAAATCGAACAGATTATTGGCTATATTAGCGAAATTTATTTGAACCAAGTAATTGTTACAAACTATTCTTCAATTAAATCTCAGCAAATATTTAAATACTTACTATTGTAAATTTTTACATATATTTTAAAAACAAATTGCCGTTTGCACATTTTAATTTGCTTTAATTTAATTTAGTTTGTGTTACGAGCAAATTACTCTATTTACATTTTTCAAAGAAAGGATGCGATAAAAGCAAAGATGAAAGCTGGAAGCGAGCGTTTATCGGGGAGTAATAAATACACAGAGAGAACTGGAATTCGTGCGCGCGTGTGATGATAACGTCTTGCGTTAGAGGGGATGATCCTGCGTATCTCTCGCGGATGCAAAACGCAGATTACTCACGCCGATATGAATAGTTACTCACGGTAATTGGTCGAAGCCTTGTTTCTCTCCGTTGAGAGATTTCTATGTCAAGCGCGTGGTCGAGCCGGGTTTTATTAAACACGCTTTATTATTGCTCTGTCCGCGCTATCTATGCACTCGTCATTCGAATTTTTTTTCGTGAAACATTCATTCGTAAAATGCAAATGCTCATCTGAGCTAGTTAACGGTAGCATTATATTGCCGATAGATATCGCTTGTTTTTTACGATCCCTATGAACAAATTAATTATGTCGTCACAGATGTTGTCGTGGGTTACAGCATAAATTAATTGATTCTTGATTTATGGTCCATCGTATGAATTCGAACTTGCATAAATCAAATTGGCACGTTGCGGAAAAATTACTTGTCATTTTTTTACGCGAAACAAATTAGAATCTATCCTGCGCGTAAACCAATTTATTAATATATTTTTATTAATAAGTTTTTAATGTATTCTTTTCACAGTAGCCTCTGTGACTTTGCACTTTTAACAGATTTCTACAAATTTGTAATAAATTTAATGTGTCGATATGCAAGTACAGACGCATTGTTATATATTATCTTACATAATAGCACTAAATAGTGACCGTTAGTTTAAATTATTAATCTATTACGTTGACTATATTTATGTCATTTATGTCGCTTATATCAGAACAGTTATCGCAAACAGGACTAGTCACATTAGAATTTAGTTTGCTAAATCTTGGATTTTCTGTTACGTTACAAAACAATATTTATAGTGCGTAAAACGAATGATATCATCAAAGATAAATTGAAATAACAAAAATTGAAACAAGTCTATCAAAATTCATGAAAATAATATAAATAATTATAAACAATTGAAAAATGAATGAAAACTGTTAAACACGTAATAATATTCGAAATATTTTCAATTACAAAAAATTTTTCAAGAAAATTATCAACTGTAAGTGTTATGCATTTCCGTTAGATGTGTTAATGAATAACAATGGAAAAGTGCGTCCAATTATGTCAAATTGCAAGTGATAAAAAGTGTCGATTTGATTATGTCGCAAAACAACATGCAGATCGTCGCAGAAGCGAGACATTTTAATTATACTACTGATTATTTTGCCGAGTCTTGCGCGTTATTTGTTGTGAATTGCGCAAAACCATGATAAACATCGAAAATGATATTACTTCCGAACGATAGCACGTAATATATCTGTTGTTTTTTTTCCGTGTCTCTTCGACTAACGCGTCACAAGGTAGGGTCCATATAAAAGCAACGAGCAGCTTCATCTAACCAGCGTGTAATACGGATCAAGCACGATGATTAAGCTACTCCTTATTTCCTTACTTTGCGTGGCGGTGGTAAGAATCGATAACAATTCATTTAAGTCTTAGAACATAGTGATGGTTAGAGATTAACGTATATTACGTTGACATATGCATAAAAATTGAATTGTGCTTCAAAGTAATAAAGTTAAAATAAAACTTTCAAGACACAGTTACTCATAAAATTAACCAAATGTTTAAAAAAATATATAAACTTTTGTAATATAATAAAATAAAAAAAGAAAAAATACGTATATGAAATCATATTTCTTAGCTTGCACATTTTATTTAAAAAAATATAAATAAGATATTTTTGAAATAATACGTTCCTAAATAATTTCTTAAAACATTCAAAATACATAATCAATTTCATGAGTCACTGTACACTGTATAACATCAATTGTTTCGAACCACGTAATAAGCAAAACATTATTAACGTTTCAACAGTCATTAGACTCTTTCTCCTACTATGATTACATTATAATAAAAAATTTTATTGCCTTTTCAGTTCTCATCAGGGCAAGCTAAAGCTAAAGCGTGTGGTAAGAGCGGTGGAGGGGGATCTGGAGGGGGATCTGAAGGGGGATCTGGAGGGGAATCTGGAGGGGGATCTGGAGGGGAATCTGGAGCGGGTGCTGGAGGTGGAGCTGGATTTGGAGCTGGATTTAACGTAAGTAAAATGTATAACTAATAATAAGTAATTTATATATACACATACCAAGTTTATCTTTTTTGTCTAAAAAATCTATCTCAATTCCACAAAATTTTCTATAAAATAAACAATTCTTTTTGTATTTCTGTAATATACATAGTGAAATAATTTTTATTTAATGGCGGTTTTCAGTTTGGAGCAGGAATGGGATGGAAAGGAAATGCAGGAGGATTAGTGACAAGTGCACAAATCAGAGGACAAAGAATTGCTGCACAAGCCATGCTATCTCCTCCAGATAGACCTCCTCCACAGCCAGAAAGACAAAGGCAATAAAGACAGTAGCTTCTATTTTAGGTAGATATTTTCACATGCGTAGCATTTCGCATTAATAACCTATTAATAAATTATACAGTTTTGTAGCCCCCCCCCCAACTAGATTATTGTTTAGAGAATCTATGAGAGAAAGTTAAAAAGTAAAGGAACCTTTAAAAAACTTGATTTCTTAAATATGTTTTTATTTTTTGACTTAACCTTGTGCATATGTGTATGATTTTTACTATTCAAATTACTAAACAACAATATTCGTAACATAATTAATAACAATCTTCGTGAATTTATACTTGCTACTAACTTTGTAATGTTTATATTTCATTAACCGCAACTGTATTATCAATGTTTGAAGTATTTAGAATAGTACAAGTTGCTTAGTGCAAAATTAATATATTAATGTTAAAATATATATATATAAAATTAAAAAAAAATATATATACATATATTACATATCAGGATATATAAAATATATATCAGAATATAAAGCATAAATAAATCATCTTTAGATTATGGTTAAAAAGAGTTTAGTCTTGAAGAAAATCGTTATTAAAAATGTAATACGTATGTTAATTTTTTATATTTATTTCAGAAGTGTATTATGTGGATTTGGACCATTGCAAAGTAGATGAAGGTGATTAGATTGTACTCAGCACTATGGCACATTTTATTAGAATAATTGCACAATCAAAAACCCCGATGATTTGTGAATAATAAAATTTTGCACTGTAGCAAGATTGTTATGATTATTTAATTTGATCCCACCTATACTTATTTTTTTAGCAGATTAAAAACTATTTGTAAGAGACACTCTTGTCTTTGATATATTTTAAATATTAAAATCTTCCTTTCAGACGCCGCGGAAGTATTTTTTATCTAAGGGGGCAAAATTTATAAAGGGGATACATAATACATTCATAATATGTATATGTATATGTATGTAACTCCATTCAAACACTATGTAATAGACCACTCAGTGTATAAAAGTAGTATAAATGTGCGAAAAATATTGTCAGATCTTTTGTTCTAATTAACTTAATGCGCTTAATTTTCTTCGTTATATTGTATACTTTAATTGAACGAGTAAATAATCAAAAAAAGAAAAAAAAAAGAAAAAAAGAAAAGAAAAGAAAAATAACTCATTTTTCCACCTTTGAATAAATATTTGATACTCAATATTTTTGGTCATGAAATACCTGAAGAGAACAGAAAAATTTCAGAGGGGGGGCTACGCTCCCTCTGAATTATCTCTGGGTGGACGGCCCCCTCTACCCTCCCGCCCTCCGGTTCCGCGGCGCCTGCTTTCTTTTTTGCTAAAAGAATTCTAATAATAAATAGATTAAGCTAATAAAAAAATAGTATAAGCAGTATGTTTCTGACATATTTTTGTTTAAAAATTTGGATTATTCTTCCATATCTTATTAATTTAGATGGTCGTATACTGAACAAAATTCTATTGAACATTGTAAAAATTTATTTCAAGCATTTGCATAAGTCTGGAAAGTATTTTTAACAAAGCTACGTGGTATGTGACCACGATTTGCATAATCAGTCGTGCAATTTTATTAACACACGGCTTGTCGGCGCGTTACATTTCTAGCTTTTCAACGTTTTATAATTTTGAAAGAACATTCACACTTTCTCTTGTACTTCAAAATCTTGTGAAGTTTTTGAGGAGATTTATAAGTGGTTTGTGCTATGCATATTTACCAAAGAGAAGGAAGCTTGATTCTGTTGCAATTCGGCTAATAATTTGACACTTGACTTTGACACTTACTTGACAATCACCGATTATAAATGAATATAAATAAATACAAATTCAAATAAATTTACTCACCGATCGATATCCTGTTATTACTGCTTCGTTGTCTGTTTCATTGCTTCAATCCATTCAATCCTTTGAACTCACTCGTGAACTGTTTCTCGACTGATGTAGGTTAAGATATGATGCCAATCCAAGATAGAGGTTATAAAAATCACAAACCGCGATTTTAATGAATATTCATTAATAAACGTACTACTGTTATCGTTCTTCACTATTCAATATTTTTCACTCGCGTTCACATGCAGAATTCAACAATTTATTCTTTCTTCAAATGATTTCATACGATTGCAAATCATTGCGCAATACGATGGCATAAACAAAGCGGCCGAACAAAACTGTGTCGCACGATGTCGTCACAGGCTGATTGCATCACTGTATTGTTTTTAGAATCTCCTTGAAAAACGTAACGTGATAATCTGAATCATCTGAATCATACACACAATTGCATTATATATTAAATCCACTTATTTAATTGTATCTCTTGCAGTCCTACTTTCTCTTTTCGCTTTTTTCCCACAAAATTTGAATATGCATGAAATATATAAATATATGAAATGCCTAAATGCATGAGCACATTAAAGAACGTTAAGTTTGTTCGTATTACTGCGTTTTTAAGCGAACAGATTTTGATTGATTCAAGGTTGACGTCTTGCATCATCTCCACCAATAAAAAACTTGAACTTATAGTGAAATAGTGATTAATTGATTCGAGATTAATCAAAATTCGTTCACTCGACAACGTTATTAGTTGCACTTTTTATACACTCTGTATTAGAAATGGTATAAATTTATATGCATTTAAACTTTACAAAAAAGGAAAAAAGAAAAGAAACAAAGCGTGGAAAGTACACGTAGAACAATATACCTACTATTTGCAATATAATTATTTATCATATGGTTAGAAATAACAGATAGTGTAGACGAGGAAAGTTAGTAACGGACGGAAGAGGGAGTAACTAGTGTCATATTTGTAACCCATATTTACTTCACACGTATTCGAACAATTAATGCAAGAATCATTTCGCGCGCAACAAACGTCGACAGTGTCACGATTTGATGGATGAGTCGATTTTTTAGTTTTTCTCATTATTTTTTCGTTCGAAGGGCATCGTAAGAGAGATGATCGAATGAGGTGAGAACATAGGGCACTGCATTTATTAAGGTAACAGTAATTATCACAGTATAAACGGCATTTCACGGCGCCAAAATACTTCGATGTGCGAAATGCTGTTGTTCGTTCAAAATGGCGTTTTATAAGAAAATTAGTTCGTGTGCAATAAACAATACCACGATATGACGAATGCAAATCGTATTTCGCTCTCCGTCTTATTTGATAGGTTCGAATTGTTTCTGCGTTTTCTAAATATTTTGCCTCGAATAATTGTTGCAAGCGTGGATTTGAGTCACAAGCGACATATCTCATATCGAGACAATGCGGTTTAATATTCGCGTGAGCTAATGTCGGTATTACAAATTAAATTATTTGTGAGATAATTAATATTGCGCGTAGTGAGCATCGACAATACTGCGACAGACGAACGTCATATTTCGCTCATTTATTTTTCGCATTATTTTTTTTCGTACGAAGCGCATCTCATCGTAATCAAATAGCAAGAAGGTCAGAAATAGTATTGATCAAGATAGATGATAATAATAATGACAAAAATGTACCGCCAAAATGATAGCGCCAATGCGCCGCTATAAATACGAAGTTGCCTTTGCGTTTCTCGAACATTACATGGCGCCAAGCGATTGTTGGTAGGTTTGCATTAAAAAATGACATGGGTGTGTTCACATCGTGGCGATGAAGTTGGCATCCCTAATTCATGAAAAATCTCATTTCCCGCGTAATGAGTGATATCAGAGTGGTATCACTGTTAAATGTGACAAAATGAACGTTACATTTCTTTCGTTCCTGTTCGTTTCTCATATCATTCGATCATTTATATGTTGCACGCATAATCCGGTGGCGAGAGTCTAAGACAGTAGATTAATCAAAATATGTAACAATAATTAGTCGATAAGTGAATGGTATTGTTGCGATGCCGTCAAGATGGCACTTCGAAGTATAAAGTTGCTTTCGCATTTCCCAGTTTTTTTACACAGCGTCATTTACGAGCGACATTGTTGGAAATGTGTGTCGAATTAAGTCACGGGCGAAATCGGAAGTGTCGAATTAAGTTACGGGCGATACCGGAAGTGCCGAATTAAGTCACGGACGATATCGGGAGTGTCGAATTAATCAAACGTCGCGTTCAATTTATGTTGTATAATCTGGAGCAGTCTTTGCAATAAAAGGAGCACATTGACTGGTGAGAAAATTTACTTATTGCAATGTTGTAATACTAAATAAATAATATTTTATTAAATTAAAAATAATAATTGAAGATAATTGAAGAGATAAATTATTTTTACTTGTTAAAATTTGAGATATATATATATATATGTATGTATATTTTAAGTATAAATTTAATTTATTAAAATAATAACATTAAAATAAGAATTAGAAATCAGAATTTTATAAATATTATTTTTTGTGTATATCAAGCAGTAGCTAACAGTTTCAACATATGATAAATTGTTTTTAAAATTGTTATTTTGAAGAATTAATTCTGAGTTCTAATTTTTTAATATTTTTACAGAAAGTAGCGTCAAGTGCTTTGGACATCCGATTATCAATGAGTTTTGTTTTTATCGGAAGTGCCAAATTGAGTCACAGATGACATCAAGAATATATAAAATCACGGACGGAATCAATGTCGAAGTAAGTAACAAGCATTTTAGCTATTTTAGCGATCGATTTGTATTTGTATTGTTATCCAGAGCAACGAGAAGCAGTAAAAAAAATTTCTTTTTATCATAATGTTCTAATTAGGAGTTAGATAAAAGATTCTCAAACATTATATATGTCCAAACAATTTAAAACAAAAAAATAAATGTAGAATTTGGATATTTCAGATAGTTTAAACAATTCGAAGCAATAGCCGATCTATAATGTTAATTTGTAATTTCTGAAAATTTAAGCAGTTTCAACAGTAAAGAAAATTGCAGCAAAAATAATATGCATTGGAAATAGAAAATAAACAGCTTTTTGATTCACTTTATGTAGATGTCAATGTTATATTATCAATATTGATATTTTTTATACTGCATATTTGATAAATTAATTTAAAAAGAAATATTTCTCGCTAATCTAATTCCTCTTCTTAATAATTTTTAATGTGTTCAATTAAGTAAAGTGAGAAATATTATAAAAGAGAATAAAAAGATTAAGAGAAAATGAGAAAATGTGACAATCATTGAAATAATGAAAGATAATAAGTGTTTAATATTTAAGACTAAATAATAATATTTTAAAATATTTTGTAGCTAGCCAGATAATAAATATATTAAATGTTATTAAATTTTATAAGTATCTATTAAACTTATCACATATTTCCTATAATATCTAGTAGTGATATTTATCGAGATCTAATTTGTTTGAATTGCCCAACTATCTGAAATTTCCGCGTGCTACAAATAAATAAATAATTAAAGCATTTACCTCACAAAAAGTTGTTTCGCTGAAAACTGATGTTCTCCGGGCTTCCTTTTCCTTTTCGTAATTCATTCATGACTGCTTCTCCGATACTTACAAAATATGCGTGATATTTTCAACGGCACTAATCGATATTAATCTACACGAATTTTGTTGAATAATGGCAATTACACGGAATTACATTAAAAATTTACAGCAGTACGAATGAAATATTTGAGTCATTGCGTAACGCAATTAATTGCGCGAATTATCAATTGGTAATTATTTGTTAGAAATATATTTTTTTTATTGTGTTAAAAATAATATTTTTAATCGCGATCGCGATTTGAGATGGAATAACGATACAAAGTAATTTTCGCAGCCGTTTTGTGTAAATAAGATAACAGCGTTTCAAAGCGTTTTATTTCATTATATTCATATTATAAGAAACAAAATTAAATGTATAAATTACAATTAAAGATTGGCGCAAATAAATATCCGAGTTTTCAATCGCGAGGGCTAAGCGAGAAATGGAGCGCGTGTACTGTGTCTTGTGTATATAAACACTGACGTCACGAGCTAGCCGAAATTTCTCGCGCAACTCGGTGGTTGTTTTTGTGACCTACGTCACGGCATACCTATGGAATGTTGTTTACGCGCTATCGTCCTAGCTATTATTCGCGTAACACACTTCAGCGAGAATAGACGGCAGTGGGAATCGCTCCGGCTATTACCTCTCATATCTCGATCGAGAAAAACATAATAAATATATTTCTTACAAATAATTGCTGATTTACTTTTCGTACTTAATTTGCTCTCACGATTAGCGATCCAGGTATATTATTCTGCGCAAATACATACAACATTGTATATTTGTAATTGTAATTTTTACATTTTATTTGTTTTATAATATGAGATAATACATTTTAAACGTTTTAAAATGCAGATATATTTAATTTTTCATATTTGGAAAGCGCGGAAGCTTAGAATTTCGAATTCAGCATAGCTGCGGCATGCAAAATTAATTGCGTAATATTTTATTTCCTTCTGCCGTTCTTTTCTGCTTCCGAAGTGAATGTTGAACGGATTTCCGTGCGATCTCATGTTTTTCGAATTTTTCTTTTGTCATCGTGACAAAATTTGTGTCGGTTAATATCGGTTAGTACCGTAGAAAATATTGCGCGTGTTTTATATGTGCCATGATCGACTACTGAGAGGAGGAGGAGGCCTAGGGGGCATCAGGCATCAGCAGAGCAGCTTTTAGGTAACTAATTTATCATTTATTTATTATTTATTATTTGTGAGATATTAAATTTTGTTGTATAATTAACTGTTTGTAGAATTATTGCCTTGCCGAATTAATTATGAATATAATTTTTTTTATTTTTACAGAGTGGCGTTAACTGCTGTTGCTACGGACATCTCCAGTTATCGGTGAGTCTTATTTTTTCTTATCAGAAGCTATAAATTATTCAGCAAATTATTTATGCTTTAAAAATTTCAAAAAATTTATTTTGATATATGTTAGAAATATTACATTAGAAGTAATTTTGCTCCTTCAGATAACTCTACAGATAGCTATACAAAATTCTATTATTATATATTTGCTCTTTTCTCTTTTTTAAATATTATATTAAATATTTAATATGTAAAAATTATGAAATTTTTAAAACATTTAATTAATTTCATGAATAACTGTAACTATTTATACGTAATCTCTTCGAATCGAACATGCAACCGTTACAAAGCAATATAATCTTGCTTTGCAATAGATTTTTGTATCTATAAGAACTTGCCATTAAAATATTCTCACTAAGAAAATATTTATTTTTCAATTAATCGGACAATATAACTGAAAACTTAATCTGACATACTCCGTATATCTCAAGGCTGCGTATTCACTTTGCTTGCTTAGGCGTACGATAATTAAATAAAAAGAACCAGCGTAAGCACGGCGTACGACGCATTCACAATCGGGAAGCATCGCGGGTTTATTCAGCGATAAATACATGATTGGTATCGCGCGAGTTCACGGTACTTCGCGGCGCGCGTTCGAATAAATCGAATGGCACTCGGCGCGCGATTATCCCTAATCGCCGATCCGTCGTGCGTTCCTTTCGCATCGTCCGGGAGAGACGGGATGAAAAGAGACGAGATTCGATTTGCGGGATAATCGATGAGACGGCATGAGTGACGCTTCTGCCGATGGCTCCTCGATCAAGGCATCGAGCGAGGAACGCGACGCATCGATAAATGACGACGACACACGACAATGACGATCGCGACGATGATGAGGAGTAGACGAACGACTATGAATATTACCTTCGGCCGCGAGAGTTCTCATCCTCTTTCCTTCTCGCGCTCGTAAAGCCCCGCTCGTTCATCCCTTCATGTCGCCTCTTTTTACTTCGTTACGGGAAAATAAATCGGCGAGGTCGACGCCGAGGTCGGGTTTTACGGTCGCTGATAGGAGGTCAGTTAACGCTGCTGATTCACTATTGCTGTGCGGAATACGCGCAGACGTTGCTTCTGGGTGGTAATTAGCTCCAATCCTTGTAACGGCGTCGTATATCTCGCGGTAATTTTTACATGTGACTTAAAACGAGACGCGCGGCTCTTCTGTTCGCTTTTATTTTATCCAGATTTTATGCGCCTTTCTTTTTTCCCCCTCGTCGACGATGCGATGTCTTACCGTGAATATAGTTTATGATTTAATGAGGATTAAATATTTTACACGCGAGCACGTATTATTTTCTTTCTCTTGTTTGCGCTTCTTGAAGGAAATATATACAATAGGGACATACCTTATCTTGGAACAAGCATGCATGAATTTGATATTTGTATTCTTATCTTTCTTGAATTGATTGCAAAATATAATCCGTATAAATTTGTGGGGTTCCATAATTTCCCAAATTTATTGTTTTCCGCAATTTGATTTCTCGGAGTTTTAAAATAAACGCGAATAATAAAATAAAGTCATGATATTATGACTTTCTTAATTCCGCTTTCATCGATGATTCGATAACGATTTCAAAACATTCCACAAGATTTTCAAATGTCAATGAATGTCGAGTAAAGAGTTATATTTTAGTAAAGGTTGTATAAGTGTGGGAATATCAGGATCCTTACCGGTTCTCTTTATAAAAGCCGGAGAGAGGAAAAGCAGGAAGGACGTTGAAGCGTGGGAGGAGTCACGCGAGGACGGGAAGGAAGCTTATCGATGAGGATGTCGAAAAAAGGGATAATAAAAAAAGAGGATCGACCCATATGTTGCTCAACAGGTGTCTAATTATTATTTATCGATCATTGAATATTAAGACCTTAAGTGTCAGTCATCGGCCGTCTCTCCTCCCGATTGCTTCATAGACCGACCCTGCCATTATTAAATGATAGAGGAAGTGTTCTATCGGATCTATCGATCCTTCCGCTTTTTTACCTGTGTTTTTTTTATAAAAGAAAATTTTATAGTCAAGATTTTACCAATATCGATTAGCTAGTCACGATTTAATCCGTTTTTTCCGTCTATATTATAGTCGATGCTAAAATCTGATGCTAAAAAAAAGAATAATTTGAGCTATAATTAAAATTAATATTACTCAATTTTGCTTTGATTGAATAATTTAATCTTGATCTTCATCAATTCTTTTTTATTCAATATCTTATTTTTATAATTCACAGATTCTCATAAAATTGAAATATTTTATATATTTTATTTTTAATTTGAATAATTAGGATTCGTAAATTATATGGCTTTAATATCTTTATAAAAATACGTATATGCCTTGATAAATAAATTTTAATATTGCTCTCTTGAGCATCTCTCTCGGAGTTTTAATCGTTCGACAATCGCAACCTAGGCGACTGCGAGATTGTTTAATTTTCACTGCAGCGACGATTCGATTCGTGCACGATCACGACGCGCGATTGGCGGCGTTGCTCGTGATTGGGATGACTTGGCTGGAAAGTGTCTTTCAGCGCCTCGTCTCGTTTCCATCTCGTCTTTCTTCCTTTTCCCGCAGAAGAAAGCCATCGCTGCGCGATTGCCATTCGGTAGCTTCGCCGCGTATTGTGAGCGTGTCGACGGAATATCGTCGGCGAGTTCGGTCGTATAATGAACTTCCTACTTCCACGAATGACAATGGAAGCGGGCAGCTTTGGGTGCTCCATCCTCCCCTCTTAAGCACGAAATTAGTGTGACTGCCGGTCGATCTCAATTATACGAATGCGCTACCGTGCATTGTGCGTCTTTCCCGGATTCTCTCTCGCTGAATTTCCCGCGGGGAAATTAGGAAACCGTAAAAGACCACCTGGATAGATGAATTGAGGTCGGAAGACGATTGCTTTGAGAAAGATAATGGGCATGTCGGAGAGTAGGCGAATCATTATGTGAATTCCAGAGTATGACGATTGATCGATAGTTAGAGACCGGCGTTTCTGCGTTTTAGAACATCATGATCTAAAAAGAAAGAAATTCTCAAGCACGGCATATTATGATGAAACCAATGCAACACTACATCTCGAATATAATTAATTAATTAAATTATAGGTAATGTAATTCAATTGGCAATGCTAAAATAAAAATTTAAATTATAGTTACTCGCTGCGTAAATAATTTTGTAGCAACAGTTAATGCTCAAACGTCGATCACGCAGATCAATTTTCATCGGACGATGTAGTCTTGCGGCGCATCGAATCAAACAAACTGCTTTCTTTGAGACTACGAAAGACATGGCTCTCGGGGAAAGCGGCAGCGCTATTGAATTATCATTGATGAGCGGTTTTCGAATATATCGCCATGGTATTATTAATCGCGCCATTCTCATGGATGTCGACGCCCAATTTTGTGACCGCATATCCGTTGGGCGTTAACAAACCATTGTTTTTAATTTATTATTCTCTTTCTTTTTATCGCTGCGCGTTTACAGCAGCCGTTTTTCTGCGGGCGTTGTTTTATCACCGCATAATTCCAGGCAAGAAAGTTTCGGGACAGGCGAAAACTGGCGATGGACGGTCCTTAATATCTGTTTTCGTGAGCTCGTTTCAATTTAGTTTCCGTCATTCACGTGATATGTTACGCAAGATTTTTTCAATAAAAAATTTCCGTGAAATTTTGTTTTCAGCATCTATTTTTAATCCAGCTTTATTTAAAATAAATGTTGGAATCAATTTTTGATTATATAATTGACTATTTCTTTTATAAATCTAGAAATATTCTGATATTAGGAAACATTTCAATTAGTTATAACATATGTTCATTATAGATGCGTTTCCGTCAGATTAATTTTAATATTTCTATCGAGGGATTCGCTATTTTTCGCGTGCATATCCGCGTGTTATAGCGTACTTTGTCAAGCCAGCATTTTGCGGGGTTCCGTGGGTCGTTGATGTACCGTTGCCAAGTTTATTGACAGTTCTCTTAGTCGATGTACACACGT